GCGTTATGTTGGCATGCTTCCAATCAGAAGGTACCACACCTCCAGATAAGGATTTTTGAAACAGTAAAGTTAAGGGTCGGCAAATAATATCCCTCATCTCTTCTAACACTATAGGTAAGATGCCATCAGGGCCCTATGATTTAGTTGAACAGCTTCAGTTTTCTCCTTGCTAGTGTGCAGTTTGTTTTGCATGCAACTACGGCAGCTGCTGCTGATGATAGTGACTGGTATACCCCCACCTCCAGGTCTGTTTGAAACAAGAGTTCAGGAATACTTGGATTCCCTTCCTTGGATTGAGCATTGTGGTGTCAACAAATTTCTCAAAGGTCTAGGTAAGGGAACTGCTGTATCAGTGACCAGCCTAGCATGTGTATTACTCTTGGTCTTGCACCTTTGACAGGCCTTCTTTACACCACTCTCAATTTAATTTCAGGTCATAAAATGAAACTTCTCTCCAGAAAATGAGGTCCAACCAAGGAGCCACTTTCTAGACTGAACGGGAACGACATCCTAAAGTCCTCTGGATGAAGGCTGACCCTTTCTATGAGAAACTTGTCTATATGAAAATTGTGGTACAAATGTTCTTAAACCTGAAAATCACTCCCATCTACTGCCCATATGGTGTCTCCACTGTCAACCCCAACAATGAGGACTAAAGTGGACGGAGTCTCTTTTTTTAATGAGATTTAACATTGATTTGATTTTGGATATTTTGCAGTGCATTTTTAAAATATATATTGGTGTCTTTTAAAAAAGTGTTAGTGTACAGTTTTCAGTGGAATTTAACATAGGATATCTTATTTTTTTTTTCAACAGATTTAATTTATATTCCAACTTTTTTTTTTCTATTAAGTTGAAGTCCCCAGCTAATGATCTGTTTATCAGTTAAATGCAATGCAAATGCCACTCTGGGTCACAGGGTTATGGTTTCAGTAAGCTCTGAATGTTTAAGGTATAAAGTATATTATATGGAAGGAAAAGGTATCAGGGGAGGGAAATTGTGATAATCCTTGCGTGAGAGAACTGAAGGTTGTCAGGTGAACATGAGGACACTATGAGCCAAAACAACAGAGATGGTGCCTAAATGCTGGGAAAAGACTAAATGCAGGAAATTTGCAATGTTTAATTGATTTCTAAACATACTGTGAGAATCAATTAAATAACATGGAACAAAAGATTACTTTTTCATGCATTGAACTTCAGTGATCCATGTTTCATGATTTTATGGAAATTTTCACCAACCCAAACTTTATCAATTCATGGTTCTCCCTGAATTATTCAAGTCCATCATACATCACATTGACATTACATCACCACACATGCTATTGTAGAATTTGCAAAGCCTGAAAACATTAACAGAGGTGTAAGGTTATTTTGTTGAGATTTTAGCATGAAGAATCACATTCTTATCAGATCATAAAAATGTGATTTTAAAAGAAAATTGCAGTCTTGGAGAGCGTGAGATCATAGCTACCCAAAGAGCTGCCAGAATATTCATGTTTTTCTGGGAAAACCAAAAAATGCAGGGGTGGTGCAGTGGTTAGCAAGTCTCCACCATAGCTCCGATTCTGGCGTTTGCATGTTCTCCCCATGTCATTGTGGGTTGTTACCTACCTTGTGCCGTAGCCTCCAGGATGGGCACCAGACTGCCCCAGATGTTAAGATAACCAAACCAAAACCATTTTCAATAATTGCTTATGCAGCATGGGGTTGCCCTAAGCCTGCTGCCAGTAGCAGAACGTATGAGGAAGGGCACACCCTGTTACAAGATGCTAATCCATCACAAGGCACATGCACACAAAGGCTATGTATAGAAGGATACAACCCCTGAATTCAGACACAGCCTATGTAGCCTTTGTAGGCTGCATACTTCAAAGGTTCACGCAATGAATCTTGGGTGATCTCTGCAAAAGACAGCATTTGAAGGAGCCTTCAAAGGATGCAGCACCTGTATTCAGACATAACCAATCACACAGCAATGCTGATTTAGAGACACCTTATTCACAATTTGTGCAGCCAGGGTCACTGGTCTACAGCCTATGCTATAAGACAGTGGTTCTCAATCATGTTTTGATTATAAGCCTGCCTTAGGCTCAGGTGATCCCTAACTGGCAAATAATGAATGTGGCAGGTTGAAAGCAGTGTGGGCTGGAATGAAAACATTCTGGCAGGAGGTGTTCCAGGAAGAGGATTGAGAACCACTACTATAGAGTGTATGCCGTAGACCCCAAGCAAACACAGTGCACCAATGCTGATAATCAGGATTTTACTCTAAGTGCATGTTCTAGCACTAAAAATAAACTAGAGTAACCATATCCAGAGAGAAGTAATCCACACAAGAATGTTAAGAACAACAACACCATTAATCACTGATTAATACTATCATAAGTCTACCTTTTCAGACCATGTTAGATTATAGAATAATTAAAAATGCTTTTATATTACATTTTAAACAAACGGGATAATAGAAACAGGACAAAGCAATGTGTCTGTGTTTAGATAGGCCTATGCATGTTAACACCAGCTCAGGAATTTATAGTCCTTTGTGAGACACTGTCCAAGTTCCCCATTGCAAGCTATTGCCATCCAGACATATAAAAGGCTTTCGGTGCTACGGTAAGTCTATTATCTACTTTAAAGGAGTTTAATGGCATCTTTAGCAAGGAAGATTAACAGTACCCCCACACAGCGTTTCCTCCCTTTTACTTGAGATTTAGTTAAGGACCTTTTACTGCTAGAACCTCGCTGAGATTCCTGTCCGTGTCAGGAGTGAAATAGGATGTACTCGAACAATTCAGAAGACTTGATTTGAACCAGGGTTAGTCCCCAAGTTTGGGACGATCCAGTGATCGTCGGGACAGCTGGACCAGTTCCCAGCGGCGATCCGCAGCTAAACACCGCCTGAAAGCGCCACCGCTGGTTTTAAGGTACGGTGTCGTGGCCGGTGTGCCAGGAAACAACGAAATGGGGCAGAAAAGGGATATCGATATAAAGCCGTTTGAAACCAGGTTGCTGCAATTATGGTAATCCTTTCTCAAATGTCGAGTTTCGAAAGAGAGCGTTTTCTCTTCATAGGAAACAAAGCGCCGCGCTGTTCGGTGTCCCAGGCAGAAAGGAGGCTCTGTGATGCGGACTCCTTTGAACAGCATCGCAGCACTGTTTAATCGACGAAAGAGAAAGATCCGCTTTTCCCCCGATGGACAACGCATGCATGGTTAAAACTGCATTAGAATTAAAGAGGAAACTTTGGCCAAGCTGACCAGAATCGTCATCGCAACATTTGTTTTGCTTGCCAAACATAAATTAATTTTCTGTGGGTGATGGTGAAAGGTGTTATTCCTTAACAGAAGTGGCTCACTTGTGTTAATTTCTCAAAACACATTCTCAGTAATCTTGTTTACGTTCTATAGTCGTGTTTAGTCTCCCCCGACATGCTCAATAAGTTTATTCTAAAACACCTCCGCCTAGTGTTGCTTAACCAGAGACTTTTAAAATAACGACGTGAAGTTTTGCCCAATGTATACAATGTTTTGCCACACAGAACCCTTTGATCAGACGTGGAAAAGCACGCAGGGCGTCTCCTGGGGGTCGATCTCAAGTCAAAGCCCACCTTAACGATTTACATGAATGTAACAGTTCCATTACTTACTTTGTAAATAGTCTGTAGGGTTTGCAAACTTCCACAACGCTTTAGATGTAGATGATTTTAGGTTTATAATGGAATAACATAGATTTGAGTAAGATTTCTTGCGTGAGTGTCACGCCAGATGCAGGTAAGTTGACAGGCTTACATCTTATCATATTATAGCGTTTTAGATTTTCCGTATTTCGTACTTCTATTGGTCCGTTGTCGTTTTATGGGATTCATGTATGAGCCAAATAAGCAAAAAATTAACGAGCATTTTCTCGAAATGCACAAAAATGTTATTTTTCTATATTATTCAGCTATGTATAAGATCATTATTCCACACTTATTATTAAAATTAGCAATCTTTCGGAACATTTATCCTTCATAATGAAAACGTGCACTATATGTAAGTTAGACAAGTTTCGCATATTTTATGGTCGGTGTATGATATTCATATCACCAAACACCTCCTTACAGTTAAGTGACGACAAACTGCAAATGAGACGAGTTTGGGAAAGTGTGAAAAGAAGGGGGAGACACTTCTTGGCGGGGGCACAGGTGCGGTACGGGACCGCATTCCACAATGTGGCAGCGAGGCACCAGGGGACGGACGTCCGCTCTTTAGTCAACAGCCTTGGTGTTCCGCTGATATCAGGCGTTCATTGCGGGTCCTTTTAACACCTGTCACAAATGTCGATTTTCAGTAGGCCTATGCCGTTTCATATTGTCTGAATGCCTGTCTCAATTAGAGCTCATGTGGATCCGTGAAACATGCCTTTTACGCTGAATTTGTTCATGATCCTAAATTTAGTCTGGAGCTCGGAGACCAAGTGCTCCCCGACCACTTTTTATAAAAACTGCTGGATTAGACGCTTCCCCGGCATTTTCATCGATATCGACGAGTCCCAGCGCAGAGGCGCGCAGCTTCTTAAGTTTTACCAGGAGGAAACGGCATTGAAATGCAGCCGGACCTGTTGCCTCACAAGAAACTGTAAGTGTTTTTTTTTTTTTTTTATCTTAATCTAAAACGAAACAGCGACTGCTTAACGTCGTGACCCAAAGCGTATTTATTAGTTATTCCGAAGAATCTGGTTATTAATAATACACATTTAATAACCTAAAACAACAAGTAATAATGTAAATGTGCATCTGTGTTATCTGTTATTAAAGGATTTACAATTTAGGCCTATTGCGGTTATATATATAGTTTAGACAGAATTGCGTAATAGTTTGGTATTTAGCAAACGTGATGCCACAGTGTACAGTATAATTACCTAGGGTTAGAGTGAATGTAAAATTACAGCCATAGACAGTGGCAGAGGAAATATATATATAATTAGTATATTTTGATAAATATATAAAGATTGTTTGCGCAGTTAATATGGATACATTTATTACACGTTTACACTTTTCCATTACATATTTCAATAAGCCCCAATGCACCCCCCCCAAACACACACACACACACACACACGTTCATGCAAACAGCCCTGTACTGGATAAGTAGTTGGAAGATATGGATGAATGGGAGGTAGGATTTCACACTACATTTCAAACTACATTATTACATATGATACATTTATGATATTCTGACAGTTTTAGGTATAACGTAGGCTTATAAATGAGACACTAGATGAAAATGATAGTGATATTGTACCAATATAATTATATTATTATATTATTAATATATTATTATTATTATTATTATAATAATTATATAGACTCAGGACAATTCACTCACGCACGACTCGATTCAGGAACAGTTTCTACCCCAGTGCCATCAGGCTATTCAACAAATCAGTAATTGTGGTAAAATCCCTTACTGTGCAACTTACTTCACACTATGCACTGTCACTGTATATTATGCACACTCAAACTATGCAACTTAGACTATTTATTATTATTTATTGCTGCTACACCACTTTGTCTTTGTCTTCTATGTCTTGTGTGTATCTTGTCTTATGTTCTGTCTGTGGGGGGGGGGTTTCAAGTAAGAATTTCATTGTGCTCTGTACGCTGTACTTGGTACACATGACAATAAACTTCAACTTCAACTTCATATTAAAATGATAAAATGGTTTTGCTAAGTATCACCAGACATGTAAATATTACTTGCCGTGTGAAACGTGAAGGAGCTGGCGAGTCAGAGAGGAAGCTGTGACTCTGCTTTGTTTACGCTCCAGTCTCCTGTAACCTGGCCATGTTCCACTATGACACCGTGCAGGAGAGTGTTAACTGCTTCCACCTGCACTGCCCCACTTTGGAGAGCTGCATCCCAAGGCACAGGGGCAATGTCATCCTCTACAACATCAGTGCAGGTGAGGGCTGCTCTCACGTCGCACCACATCTGTTTGAGTATCATCGCTAGTCATACCAATGACTCAAATGGCTTCAAGTCGGCCCCAGCTTATCATCAGGCAGCAATTACTGATGACTCAAATGGTGATGGGTCGGATCTGGATCATCGCCATGTACCAGCTACTGATGACTCAGATGGCCAGACATGAGCCTCTACTTATCACCCATACACCATTCACTAATTACTCAAATGTTCATACTGTAGGTATGCCCCAGCTTGTCACCAGAAATGAATCACTGATGACTCAAATGGCCATATTATCATCATTATGTACTAATCACCGACTAGAGTAACCACAGAAAGTCAATCTTAGCCTATCATCTTCATGCACCAATCACTGACTATTTTAATCATAGAAGGTCAGTTCCAAGGTATGGACAAGGTATAGATTTGGGTATGGACAGTATCCCACCACAGTTACTATTGTTTACAAAAACTAGAACTATAAGAAAATATTTTCATAAACTGAAATAAAATAAGACACTAAAATAAAATAAAACACTACAACTAAACAAAAACTATAAACATTGCTACAGAAACTAACTGAAATAAAATAAAAATGAATGTTACAATTTTTAATACTATTTAGCTACATTAGATTCATCATGATACTGATGACTGGCTAACCTCTGGGCAAGGGGGTAGATCTGCTGGGCAAATTCAATAAAGAATTAAAAACATACAAAAACTGGTGGACCAGTTCTTTCTTCTAAGTAGTGTTACCAACCTGTCCCATATTGAACTATGTTGAACCTTACCACTCAATAAGTCCACTCTGTCAATCACCCCACTCTGCAAATTTGATCGGGATGCAGGGCTCATTATTTCATCAATAGCCATTTTTCCAAGTAGCCGATGTGCTATTAAGTTTAAAAAGTTTGTAGCACCCAATGAATTTTAGTAGCATGCACAAAAAACTGAAGAACTCACTCAACAAATTTCAATATACTGTAACACTTCTCCATGAGTTCCAAGAATGGACTGAAGAATCTGCTGCCTTAATAAACTTTTATACATTTTTGAAGTCAGTTAATAATTTAGTTTTATAAAATTATTCAAATTGGACACAAATCAGCCAGTTAATTTGAAGACAAAAATAAACAGAAAGGGAGGCTGCAGTAATAAATAGCCTACATGCTTAGAAACACTACGTACAGATCTGTGTACATACAGAGATACACGCACACGCTGTCTCTCACTTTCTTTCACGCTACACTTTGTCCCTCCATGCACAGCATATGCAAAACATTAGTGTGCCAATAAATTTCACCCACTGGAAGGTCTGAAACCATTAAACCACTGGTGTCCAGTCTTCTTTATAGTGTGAGCTAATTATCCAAAGAGCCAAACACTCGGGTCGTTCTGGGGGGAAGTCCCCCTAGGTATATTTTGCAGACCGGGGAGGAGGGGGGGGCGGGTCCCCCTTGATATATTAAATATTAGATTTCGTGATCAGTTACAAATGCGCTGGAAATTGACCGTTTGGCTGCCGCTGCCTTAAATCATTCTTTGTTGAATTAGTATCCCGTATAATCCACCCTGCTTTGGCTAGCAGTGCTAATGGCACTGCAGGCATAATCATTACCTCCTTCTGCGACGATGTCATCACCCAGTTCCTTCAAAATGAGCAATCGACTTCATTTTTGTTAGTTACTACCATTAGGTTGTTACTGATTGACTCAAATAGTCATATAAGTATTTAGGCAAATGTTACGCAGTTTGTTGAAAATGAGTACCAGTTACTTACTTTGTTTCGAACGCTCAGTACTGGGTCGTCTAGCAGTGTGATGTATGCTTGGAATACTAGTTTTTACCTACCAAACAGCTACTAGTCAATTCAATGTAACTTTCCAAAAATAATTACAGGTAATAGTGTAACGTCATTGCTCAATTCAATTCACATATGTGCAATTGAATATTTTTTGCATATTTGATAAAAATGTCACAGTGTAGAGGCCTGTCTGGATCCGGCCAGGGGTAGGGGGTGGGAGATTAGTGAATGAGCTGATACAATCTCTCGTCTTCCACTATGGCTGATCATCCAATGTAGTCCATTATTTCAGGATTTATGTGTTTAGCACCAGTAACTTTAACTTTTTGTTAAATTTAAATATCAGTGGGTAGTATCACCCAAAATTGACACTTCAAACAGATATCGGCCAATATCAATACGTTAGTGCATCTCTAACATCAGTACATAATATGGACTGCATATTCATGTATGATTCTCTAATGATCAGATACATTCAACATTAAGTCTGTCCCAAGAAATAAAATGAGTAAAACTTACACTGAAGCTAAAATATATAAAAAAACTAAACAGAAATATATCTTTGAAATAGAAACTATAACAATACTGGTAGAGACATGTCCCTACCAGTGTTGTGGGAATAACATGTGTTTAGGGGAGCGGGGCATTCGGGGCTGATTTAACCTTATTAGTGTTGAAACCAAACCTACGCCTTTGGTCAGTACCAACTTATCATCATTATCACGACATTATCAGTGTCAACCAAACCATGCTTAAACAATGTATGTCCTATCCAGTGCTTTGCATTAGTCTATTATTATGCATACATATCAATAAACGAAGACGTATAATTGTAGGAGGTCATAAATCTTTAACAAGACTATATATTTGATTTTGTTCTGTGATGATTTTTTTTCAGACTTTTCCACCAGTTAATCCTATAACTTTTATTAGCCTTTGTGATGGTAGTTTCAGAATTATAACCTATTCAACTGAGCTGGACATAACCCTTGAAAGTTATAAAATAATTTAAATGGTATTTTCTAAATTCAGTAGAATTGAATTTAATTTGTACATAGTTGTCAGCTGGCCAAAGCAATCGACCAAGGCTGACATTGCAGTAATATTGTGAGAAAATAGAAATTGGATAGAAAATCCAGAAGACAGAGGTGGAGACTGGAGGTTCAAGCCCATGAGACTATCCAACCCCCTCAACATGCTAATCTGATACAAATCACAAATATTTGTTAGCTTCAAGCTTCAGAGAGTAATTGCTGTTGTCATTTCAGCTTATGGGGATGTGACGCCTTGCTGATGATAAACTACTGGTTAGATGATTGCGTGTGTGTGAGATGTTATACCATTCTCTAAAGCTAACCTTAGGGCTGTCGTCTAGGTGTGGACCCTGACCTGCTGGTTTTTGGGAAGTATTTCCCATCCAATGTACGTGTCTGGCCTCACCTGTCCTCCAGGCCCAACTCCTCAGACCTCCTGGCTTCGGATAAGCGCCAGTTCAACCGCCCAGCTGTGTCTCCTGTCCAGAAGCAAACCACCTTGTCCCCAAAAGGGGGATTGACCTCACCCAAGAACTCTAACAAGGTTATATCTGGTTCCTCCTTTGTTACTTTCCCATCATCACCTGTCATGACCACCTCCACCTCTCCTGAACAAGCTTTGAGGAGCAGCTCCACCCACTCTACCCTATCCACCATGATTGCCTCTACCTCTGTCACCCCTGTTAACTCCACACCCCTACCAATCACAACCAGTTCAACCTTCATGAACTCCATTCTTCCACCAGTCACAACTAGTACTTCCTCCATTATGTCCACAATCTCTCCAATTCCAAGTTCCACCTCCACCCAGCCACTAGCTATGACTAATTCTACCTTATTCAACTCCACATCCCCACTAAATACAAGCAAGCCCACCATCTTCCATTCTACCCCACCATCCTCTATAAATATATACTCCTCCGTCAACTCCACAGCCCCACCAGTTACAAACAAACCCAGCTCTTTTAAGTCAAACTCACCACCAGTCATAACCGAGCCCAGCTTGCTCAACTCCACAGCCCTACCAGTTATGACTAATTCTAATTCCTTTACCTCTACCCCACCAGCATTAACAGCCAGACCCACCTTGCTCAACTCCACAGCCTTACCAATTATAACCAACCCCATTTCCTTCAACTCTACCCCATCACCAGTCATAACCAGCCCCACCTCTACCAAATCCATACCCCTGTCAATGAAAACCAAGCCCACCCCCATCAAATCCATATCCTCAACAGTCACAACTGGGCTCAGTTCCATTAACTCCACACATTCACCAGCAAAAGTTAGACCTATAACTGCTACACCAGCACCTCAAGTCATCATGGTCAAATCAACTTTCTCTCCTTCCAAAGCTCCAGCCATCATGATACACTCTTCCTACACCAAAGACACACCCTTGCATTCCACGATTGGCCCCATTACCTCCATCACCCCACCCACTGTGGTGATCACACCAACCATTAAAACACCATCATCTACTTTGGCCAGCATTGCCCATGCAACTCCCCCCTCCTCTCTCATGTCCAAGTCCAGCTCTGCCTTGACAAGCCCCATATCCTCTCATATGACCAGATCTACACCTGTCACCTCCACTTCTCCACTAAAAATGACCATCGATGTCCAAACCACTATTTTGGCCCTGTATACCAACAGCACTGGGGGTAACCATACCACCCACAGCCAGTCCTCTGCCATTCCACGGTATCCTGGCCCCCTTCTACTCCCCACAAGCACTCATGCTCATTCCATTCCTGCTGGTCCTGCCAACATTGACAGTGGCAAACAGTATCCCAATGATACCAAAGGATATGTCAGCAGGAACCACACTGAGGTGGAGGTGGGTAGTGGTAAGCCCAACACAGTGACTCCAACCTGGCATATTGCAGTCAAAGCTCTTCTGGTCCCAATAGTGGTCGTCAGTGCTGTCTTACTGACCTGCTGCTGTACCACCTTGATGGCCATCAACTGGAGGGGCAAGAGAAAGGGACACTACAGGACATCCTGGGGCAAAAAGAAGGGCTCCATGCAACTTGTCAAGTATGTGATCATCAGGGAGAGGTTTTGAGCAGGCATGTGGGTGTGGATGGTCTGAAACCAGCGACAGTGGAGGTCTTGGGTGCTTGGAAGATATGGCAGATTTCAGGTGATTTTTTTTCTATTGAAGAATGCAGAAGACTGCAAGAGATTAAACTGAAGGGTCTGGCAGATGCGTGATTCGCCTACAGTTGGGAGACACTGCAGCAGTTTGGTTTCAGGAAATGCTGCACACTTTGATTGTTCTCCACCATCTGGGACTGCAGTTGGAGTTAACTGCTCCCTTGAAGACCATCATATAAGCAGGGGTTTAAAGCTCGCCAGCCAGAGGTGACTCCAGTATTAGCCTGCATTGGCGAGGTCTCCGTTGCCACGTTTCTTACAACAGATTCATAATGAAGTTTTTTTATGAAGCAATTTTCAAAGGAATTTAAAATAATGAGAGAGCAAAGATTCTTAGGGTTCCCATAGTAATATGATCTGAATGGTCTTTCACTGTGGAAATGATTCAGCCTAAAGGCATTATTTATAAGGAGGTCATGGTTTTATAATCTTAATGGTTTAATAACGAAGTTCCACATTTTGGAGCATGAAGCTACCATGCAGGTCACACCAATGGAAGACCACGGCAAACTGAGGCCAAAGTCAAAGATCCACAGCACTTAGCTTCACATGGGGTAGAAACAGCTTTGCCTTGATTTTTTCCTTTAACTCATCAAAATAATCGTTAAAAGTGACTTTTTTTTTTTTTTTTACTTACCTTGCTTTGATCCACTAGTTACCTCTCTAAGAATAAATGTGTATATTTTCTACTTCTAAAAATCATGCTGGTAATATGCTGAGGTATATACCTGTGCTTTGGAGAAATACTGTCCAAAATACCATAATTATTTTGTCATTAAACAACTGATTTAAATTTTTCATCTTGTTCTGGAGATTTTTTCCCATGTTTGTACTCTTCGGTTAATCACGATCTCTTGATTTTTCTCTTCAACCTTCCCTGCTGTCAATATACAAGGTAAGAGCCACATTCTGAGCTCCAACTGTTACATTTCCTTGTCAGTCTCAGTGGCCAGATTATGGAAAGGCACCTGAGCAGGTCTCAAATGGACAAAGCTGCTCTCAGATATGACAGCAAGGGACCAACTTGGGCAAACATTCAGCACATTTTGTGTCAGCATCTTGGTGAATGGCCTCACTCAAACAAGACCAAGGTAAGCAAATGCCCCTTATCTGGACAGATGCAGCCCCTCACCCCTGTGTGAGAACCATCCCTGTGAGTCACATCCCCCAGGGAATCAAGTTTCCACCATCGACCCCAAACTATTGGTATTTCACTCGCTTCACCGCTGAATGCATCCTTTCTTCAGGGCCCTGAATGTGCACTGGGATTTCTCTTTGAGCTGTGACTGAGGAATGGGATGACGTCTGCCGGAGGCTTATAACCCACATAACCAAACAATATCCGCATATGAAGAGACCCAACTCAGGCAGAACAACTGATATCAAACACAATTTTAATGTGTTTACAGTTTCGGCTTCAACTATTGAATCTGTTCTGAGTGAGCGGTTACTATAGGGCCCAGCAGAACCATGGAAACGATATGTGACAGGAGAGGCAACCAATTTAATCTGGTGACAAACACACCTTCGGGAACAGTAGGCTTTCTGATCTGGACACAGATTTCTGCCCAGATTAACAGAACCAGTGCAATTACGATGATACAATGGCACATAGCCACAGGGCTTCAGTCCATCAGCCTCAGCACTTGCATCTGTTTGACGAAGGTGTCAGTGAGGCCCTCAGACAGCCCGTTTATGCAGGAGGAGCTCAAAGCCTTAGCAACTGTCTCACAGCCTCCCTGTACCGCAGTACACCCTCCTCACTCTCGCCCTCGTTCTTCAGCTGGCTGACTGCGGTGCCATATTCCCGCACCTCAGCAGAGGTTAGCAGCTTGTCCCGGCAGGGTTCTGCCTCCGTATCAGGCCGCATGCGTAGCAGAGTGTCCACCACATTCTTCTGTGAGGGGCTGCCTTCCCATACGTATTCTTCCATGTCTTCCTCGGTCTTCTCCTGCTCCCAGGCCTCCGTTTTCTGGATGGAGAAGAAGGGGTGGTAGCATCATCAGCACTTTACCAAGGCTACACCAGCCCCCCACCTCCCTGAGGTGTTAGCTAGCGAGTAGAGCCAGATCATCATATCTGGCTAACAGAACATGCTTCAGCATCTCCTAAATAGGGATTGCATTGATTTTATATTAAGAGGGGCTCCATGCAAATGTGTGGAGGTAATCCCAGCCACTGCTAGCCCCAGAACATCACAATCCCAATCTTTCACATTACAGGTGCATAGTCTACAGGCACCTACTGCCTCCAGGAACTGCATCACCAGTCTGTGACTGGCTGCATTTAGTTGCAAGGCTGAAAAAATAACTTCAACTGACTGAAATAATCTGGAATACCGTGCAGTGTCTGTTTTCTTGGGGAACACCGCCCCCTCTACAGAGCTAGAGTTTCCCGGCATTAGGTGCCACACACACTGCCTCCCTGCAGTCTGCACTGCTCACCTCACAGTGCACAAAGGACCCATTGTGTGGGTCCCTTCTGCTCCCCAGACCCCGGCCCAGGGACCAACCCCTATCATGACATCTGAGGCCACTAAAACCCTTCTTCCATGGGACCTCCTTTGCTAGTCTGATGCACAGGTGATGAGAATCACCCCCCACTGATGGTTTGGGTTGTCAGGTATGTCTCCACAGTGGAACAGGTGTCTGCATGGATGTGGGAGCACCACCTGCGGCTGGGTGTCTAAGCCCCGGGAGGCCAGAGAGCTGATGTTACACCTGGAAAAAGGCAGCACTAATACGGCTGCTTTACCTATTGAAAAAGTCACACCAAGGACTCTACTGTGCGCTCCTGGCACAAGGAATTGGTCACTTTAATTTCCTCTCTGCCCAGCCCATAGTAATACACAATGATGGAAAATCAGAAGTAGGTCTGGTGGAGAGCGTGCAGTGCTCACCATACAAACCAACTTGAGGATGCGAGTGACATAAACATAGGCTGAAGCTCTTTCAACCCTGGGCTGAGCTTCTCTTAGGTGCTACATCTGAGTTACACATAAGAGTGACCTGTAAACTTTACGGTGTTGATGTTAGCAGTCAAACTTGATCCTAAACTGCTGCAAAGTCGAGTAGACGCACTCAGGTGTAGCATGAGCGAGCTGCGTTTGCCGCAATGCTACTGCCGGCCTGTGGAACATTCAGCCCCCGTGAGCGAGCTGGCCTGGGCAGTTCCCAGACAGATGCCCCCATGGACCCTGCTAAGCGAGAGACTGTCAGAGAGCGCTGGGGAGACAACGTGGGTCCCACGCTGACAAACAATGGGCTCCTTTACGGGGTCACATTACTGCTGCACGTACAGCTAATGGGCAAGCCTCTCTGGCATGGCCAGCACCTCCCATGCCCAACGAGCTTAACCAATCAGACAAAGCCTGCCCAAGCTTATCCAAACTAAAACCAATCACCAGCCTCTATCCGTCTGGTGTCTACGTACACGATATGTACACGTAAGCAGACCAGTTACCAACCACCGTCGGATGTGACACCAGAATCTTTGACTGGTCATCCAAAAACGTAATAAAGAATTAGGGGGTCGACATGCAGACATTTAAACACTATAGCTGTGACGACAGCATGCTCAGTGAAACATTATAACGTGATTTAATTACGGGTGTATTTATTTATATCCTTTATTTAACCAGGAGAAGCCCATTGAGATTAAAGTATTCTCCTCAGTCTGGCTATATATGGAGGTGCTGAGGGGGCTCTGTTTGCACTACAGACCTACTGAGGCAGGTTCTTTCACACAGGGTCTGCTCATGCTCCAAGCCTGGCAATACAGTGTACCACCACATAGGGGTCAAGGTGACTTATGGAAAAATGAGGCATTTGTAAAACTTTCTAACAGTTTTTAAGCAAGTCAAATGATTTATATTTTATTTTTAAAAATTCACATTTTGTTATTTCTAAAACTGAGTGTTTTATAGTTGTGTAACACTGCTTTAATTTATCCATAACAACTAAATTCATGCACCTGAATAGACCTCTATACAATACTGTTTTTATTCATTTTCCATTTTTATTTAATGGAATTTGAGTGTCAAGCTCTGAGTTTAGTTAGTAATAGAGAAACTCTCTTTTGTCTCAGTTCCTGATCGCAATGAAAACAAACAATATCCCAGCTCATTCAGTGTTATTCCAACATAGAGCCAGGGGATGGTGGAGTATAAAGTAGAGGAGATGCCAACAGACCAAAGAGCCACTGGTCTGAGGGGGGCTCTCATATCTGCTCACCGGGGCACGTGAGTGGGGAACATGACCTCCTAGAGAATGGAGAGCAAACGGCACTCTGCTGAAAAGTTTATGAGAGAGCTGGGGGGTGATGAAAACATGGCCCATTCACTGCGGGAGACCACTTAATGCTCACTGTGCCCCTCAACAAGGGGCAGCCCCCCTGTATCAGGTGTCCCCCGCCCCAGGGCTAAGACAAAGGACTATATGGACTGGAGCATGTGATCTTTGTTTGAGGGGGTTAGTGGGTAATGAGGACAATGTGACATACTACTGTGTAGGCAGATAAAGAAAATTATGTTTACATAAATCTTCATGCTGATGTAAAACTATGATTTTATAGGAGTGAATGTGCATCAGCTCAGCCATTTCAAATCTCTCCTAAATTCAACCCAGGAACCATCCAGTACACCATATTTGCTGACTTTACTGACCACTAATATACCATGTTTAGCTAATCAGTAATTAGTGAACTACCTCGATGAAGTAAGTTAGAGAGCAGGGGGTGAAATATAATGAACACACAGAATGGCTGGGGTGCCCCTGAGGAGAGTTTTGGGAACTTACGAGATTTTCTTCAAGAAATCAGCAAATTTCAGAACAATAATTTACTATATATGAGCATTAGAATGAGTCATACAACTGGTCCTAGGCCACACTCCTGAAAAGGCGGGACTCACCCAGGACTCGTGGTATAAGGCGGTCAGGAGGTACATTGCGTAGTCTCTGTTCTGCCTCTTCAATGGACATCTGGATAGGGAACACAGGACCTAAATTTTGACTGATGCCGTCTAATGACACAACCACTGACCCTCACGCTGAGCCACTGACACACAGTCAGGCGTAAACCAACCAGCAATGGAGAGATGTTGCGAAGACTCTGCAAGCACAGCATACCTGTCTGCCGTGAGGGTCAAAGTGTCCGTCTCCCTACAGTACCGGGGCCCAGCCAACTTCACCAGCTTCCTCCTTGCGTGCAAGTCCAGATTCAGGCATGACAGCTTCACCTGTGGAGAAGCCCAGAACCAATCACAGCAGCTCAGCACCCCCCCAGTTCGGACATCACACCCGGTCTTGGCAGGAAACTGCAGCCTTAATGGTCTCACTGGTTTGTCCAGTATAATAATAAATCATGACATGGGGGAAGAAAATAACCAACAGTCCCTGTACTTCAGCTTCTGTTATCTCCAGTCATCTCTGCCAAAGCCAAATGCGTGAATTCCCATAATCAGATACGTTCCGGGGATTTTGTTTACAGCGACATCCCAGTACAGGGTATCTCTAGCCATTCTCTGATTGAGAACAACAGAAGATCATCATACACATCTGTTCTTTTTTCCTTTTTAAATCCACGTTCCCACATCCCAAGGGGACACTGGTTACATGCCATCCTCTGATTTTCATCGCACTCTTATTGGCCAAAAGAGCTGCTCCAAAAAGCACATGATCCATGTGAATTACACAGAACACACACATCAGAGGCAGAAGCAGACTAGCTTCACTCATCCATACCGACTGACAGGAACCACGCTTTTACTGCTCAGGGCTCCTACTAATCCAGTTTCAATATAAAAAATTCCATACTTCTCCGTACGACATAGGATAAGGGTCAGAGTGTCCTGAGACCCATTTCCTGTTGCTTTCCATGCTGCCCTTTAAGCATTCAGAACAGAGCAAAAATGTACCATTTAATATGAACAAAAAGATGGGATCTGGTGTTTATTGCTTTGCAGACTCCAAAATGACAACTGAAACATCTTATGATCATGCACTATAAAACATCCACCAATCACTGCCCCCTGGCCCATCCATCCATCCTCACCTTGAGCCTGACCACCCGACTGGCGGGGCTCCTCAGAGAGGGCCCAGCAAACACAAAGTCCTTGGTCTCCATCTGGATGGGAAAATGCTCCTCACACCTGACGTCCGAGTCCAAGGTGGATGGCCACTCTGTGCAAAACTCTGCCATGGAGGGTAACACAGATCTAATGTCACAGGTCCTGTCATCAGCCTCCGTACTCTCCAGTTAAAGCTGCAGTCATACTTAACTAAAGTAAAGAACCTGGTCGTAGCCAAGGGGGGGCAGGCATTCGCCACAATCAAGTTGATCCCATCCCACCGCTTGGTGAATTTTATCGTTGGCAAAATCTTATCGCTAAGTTTTCAAAATACTGGAATAGCGTTGCATTGGGAAACACTGTCAAAATACCATATACCGCAGTATAATGTCTAGATGTTACCAAGCCTACCTGGTAATTAAAATCAGACTGGTCCAATCTTAGTTCCATCTTAACTTTCGTATTTTATAATGTTGCATTTTAGAATAAGTGATATGATGACAGAATTAATTACAGAACATATGGAAATAAATGCATTCATTTTCAGAACATCACTGGAACGTCACAGATGCCAGGTACACTCATACTCACGCTTTAAAGCTTCACAGTGCTTCTTAATCGCAGGTGGAGTTATGTGCAGGAAGTTGGGAATCTGAAAGAGACATTTGTCACATCAGTCTCACATCACTGAACTCCTAAAAACAGACCACACCAGTCCTGCTAAGATGCCTCTAACGATATACTAAACCATTTTTGACAAAGCAGAGGATTTTTTTTCAATAACCCCAGAACTTGCACAAGGTTTTTTATCATAGCACAATGAAAATCTGATCCACATGCTTCCTGTGGATCATAATACCAAACACTAAAAGTATGGCACCTTCTCAGATCTTAAGTCAGAGACCAAATATAAACGTGAAGGGGTCCCCAAAGCCTGACCACAGCGCTAGAGCTTGAAGTAACAGAGCAGTGAGCACCAGCTGGATGTTGCTGTATGATGGTCTGTTGCTCGGGATCTGCTGGTTAACTACAGATATTCCATACCAATCTGGTAGGGTTAACTAGCCTCCCCAGTGGTTTAAGGTACATTCAGCCAAAATATTAAACTGGAGCCAAGTCTGTGGTATGTTACACATCCAGCAAAACACAAACACGGAGAGGGTATTTCCACAACCCGTCCAAATCTTATTTTGAAACATATTTGCTGATATAAAAATGATTCAGTTTTCCGAGTTAAAAACATATAGTACAAGAATCGCTTTTAACTTTATTAAAATAGTTTAACCTGATGCCAGTATAAGATGCCTATACGCCAGCACACTGACCCCATCCTACCCCTCTTCGAACCTTTATAAGCTCCAAATTGCCTTCCTTGGCTGGGTGAACCCCCCTCTCCACCGGATAGCCCATGCGGACAGGCAGGGGCACGGAGCACGGCTTGAAGGCGGCCGCAGTCGGGTACACGCTGGTCCAGTCCTGGTCTGTGGACATTTTCTCATATCGCGGCGGTCCACTCTGAAAAAAAGTCCACGAATTTTAAAAGATGAGAATGTCACTTTTACAACGGTGATTATACTGCACGGTATTCATTTAGTACAACCAGATTAGATGATCGGTCTCCATAGTCAAGGTTATCACAATGCTAATATACTTTAAAACGTGGAGTGCGCTGAGCATGCTGCCACACTGCGGCCCTTCTTAAAAGCCCATCATTTGTACCTCCCTCCTCGGCTTTCTATTCGGGGGTCCTCTCCTTCCAGCTGCAGACACGCCTTAAAATGCAACAAAAATGTCATACAATCGTAACACATCGAAACTGACTGTACTTATACGATAAACCCGATTTGATGTGAAACATCAGACTGTATGTATAATATAAAATGATTTTCAATAACATTCACGGTCCCTCCCACGATGACCTAGAAGCTCGCCACACTTCTTGTATTTGATTATATTGCATTTCTGAATACATTGGTTAATAATAATCAAGCTATTTACCCGTTGAATCTGCGAACCCTCTTCGTATCGGAATTAGTATTATAGCCCCTAAATGTTGATTTATTCTGTTTAAGGACATTGCCGCCGTACACAGCTCCAAGGCAGCCATAACTGGAATAAGACAAACGCGTACGGAAAGCCGAAAGGCACAAATGTGGTAAAAGCTACGCGCACTTCTATATACACAACGCCACCTGCTGGCAAATGTTAAGTAAGCGCCAGGAATTGCTGCAATTCTTCGAAAGATACAGTACATCCATTCATGGGCGTAAATTACGGGGGATGGGGGGTTGTAACCCCCCAATAATCAAAACTGGCGAATACAACCCCTCAATAATCATGTCACCCCCTAAATAGTTGGAGACCTGACCCACCCCTCCCGCAATGTTCAAACCAAAGTTACGCCCTTGCATCTATCCGTCCGTCAACCCACCCATTCATCCATCCAACGTCCAAGCGATTATTCCGGAAAGTCAAATGATATATGCTATTGAAACATCACAAGCAGAAATATAGACAAAGATGATGTAGCTTAATAGTAAAAAGTATAGTTTTTAAAATGTACATTTTGCATTTTATAACTCTTTTTCATATAAACTTTAAGCGGTGGTATAAAGTATTCTTCAGTCTCAGGTCGCTGTAGTATTGTAATTACCACAGCTGTCAACCCCTTAACTCATGTGCGGTATCGCTGCTTGAATGCATGGAGCACGATTAAATGTCAGTCATTCACCGCGTAAGATGAAAGGATCTGTCCACACGTGTGAGGTGTGCTGCTTCGCCGTAGGGTTTTACACAGCGGGGAAAAGGGCTGTCACACAAGCTCCAGCGTGAAAGACACTTGGCACAGGGACCCCGTAGTCCGCATGATAAAGTTCATATTGCCGAAGTCTCATTTCGCTCTCCAAGGTACTGGGTTACTCGGCACTCAGCACGTTGCAGTGACCAGTAAAAGGTAGGCTAAATCATGTTGAATTATTATCATTTTTAATTGTAGAAGTATACATTGAAAAACGTTTTCTTAATGTAATTTTGATGTCTCTTAATTCGGGTCGATAATGAGATATTTTATTTGTAAAATGCAGGTGTATAAATTAAGATGTGTGAAACGACGGACCTCGTGGGATCAGGGTTTTCAATGTTTTTGGACGCGTGTTGAATATTTTTTCTATTCTTTCTTTGCATTATTTTAAATGTAATATAATTTAAAAGTCTTGCATTATAGATTTGAATTTTAATAAAAATAGATTTGAAATTTGAATAGAAATAGATTTGAAATAGATTCTGGGTGTAATTAGAACCGACTAATATTATTGTTACTACTAGCTACTACGACAACTACTACTACTACTAGCTAGGCCTACTAGGCTAATACTACTGCTACCACCACCACTACTACTACTACTACTAATACTAATAACAACAACAACAATAAAACAACAACAACAATACAATTTACAAAAAACACAGGGTAAATTAATGTACGAATGAATTACCTGATTATATATCTGACTGAAACCCAATATATTTGTAGCTCAGTGGTACTCTGTCGAACAAAGATTAGAAGTAATTTACCATGGTCCATTTAGCGTAAGACAAAGGAGCGTGTCAGCCTTCGGACTGAAACTGTGGGTGAATGTATTCGCCACTTCGCGGTCGAGACTAGCATACACTTAATCGGAAAGCGGCTCCTGTTTCGTTTGGGCTCCCCAGTGAAAGTCTCATGAATAATACCCGCAACAACAATTTAATAATAGGGGTCGATCTGACATGAATACCTTATTGGTCTTATTCATGCAGATCTCATCCAAAGTCCTTATATCTAAAAAAACACGACTGATAATTACTGACGCACTTCATGAAGACTTCGATTCAGATGTAAACAGAGGTTTCACTTCCACGTGCCGGATATACTCGTTTGCCGTCAATTACATCTTCTGACCCTTCAACTGACAGTTGCATTGTCGGTGGGGTGCAGCGATGATATCTATTCCAACCATAGGGAGGGCTGGAACCACATCAGAGCAGCGGGATGGTAGTCCATCACTATAATATAATATAATATTGTGGAAATCCGATTGGGGTCGGTGCGTGACGTCAGGAGTTTCCCAGCATGCCCCGGTGTTCAACTGTTAATTATGTCTTGGTTTTGTCTTTATTACAGTGTTTTGTGATATTTAAAGTTTGCTTCGTGTTTATTTAGTTTATGTCCTTATCTTAGGTATTAGTTCGTGTGGTCGATGTGCATGCTCCCATGATCGGGATTAAGGTTGTCAGTAGTGGGGAGTGGACCGGCAACGTGAATAAAGGGTAGTGGAGAGAGCGTTGCTGAGTTGTATACCGCACAATGCCCCTACCAATTCATATAGATAAGACATGGATACTACCCCCACTACCCCAACAGCTTTGTTCAAAGCTAGCTTGTTAATTAATAAAGAAGCTGTTCGACAAAAGGTGCCTACCTTGGAGTCCCTTCCGGAGCTTTGCCACAATGTAATATAATGTAATAGCACCAGCAAGGTGCATGTTCCAACATGCCCCACATGCAATTGTAAATAGCCCTTGTTTTGTTGTTGTTGTTGTTGTTAATGTTAATGGTTATATTTCCCTATTGTTGCGCATGTGTTTGCCTGTGTCTTGTGTGTACCCGGTCCAATCTTTGGATGTATTTAGCTTGTGTTAATCTCCTACTGTGTATTCATCTTGCAGTTTGGCGTCTGACAACCTTGTGTTTCCCATCTGTGTATTTGGTTCAGTGCTGGTTGGATGCCTGTTGTAGTCTTTTTAAGAACTGCTAATAAAGAGTGTGTTTTCCCTGGCAAGCAAGTCTCCATGTCTCTATATGCTCCCGCGTTGCCTTGGTCCGCCCAGCACCACATTGATGTCAGAAGTGGGATCCCGGAAGTGATCCTGTTGGCGCGGCTGGAGCGGGCGTTGATTACCATCATCCGGCAAGCTTGCTCCAGCTTTGGGGACCTCAAGGAGGCAGAGAAGCGATGGCACCCCACAAGAGACGTGAAGCTTGTCTGCTGGTGTTGCAGGGCAGGAGGGCACCTGTCTCTCCACTGCCCGGAAGCTCGCACCAGAGCCTCCGGCAGAAGAGCAGGGGACGCCGGGGAAAGGGAGGCACCCTCCGTTCTATCCAGGAGGCACCAGACCCACACAGCGCGCCCTGAAGCCTGTCCTGCCTGCTCACCAAAACCTCAGCGAAGACGAGGATGGGCAGCATAGCAGACTCCAGCTGCTCATTGGCCGTCAAGAGCTCCCCAATCGTCAGTGAGGAGAACCCGCGGCGCAACTCCGGCTGCAAGGCCGACCAGCAGAGGCAGCAGGTGGAGGCTGCTCTGTTGGTGCAAAGAGTGCTGCGAGCTTGACGAGTAGCGGGAGCGGGACTGTCAAGACCGGGTGCGGGACTATCAAGACCGGGAGCGGTTGCAGTAGTCCATGGAGCAGGAGCAGCAGGAGCTGTGCAATAAATTGGCCAGCTGGGAGAAGGAGCACGACCGCCAGAAGCGCCTGGCTGAGGCAGTGGAGGCGGTGCTGCGTGGCCGCGGGACAGTGCTGCTCGGCCAGGAGGAGGCATGTCGCAGATTGGAGGCCCAGCTGGCTGAGAAACACCGCAGGCTACAGGAGGCAGCAGTCACGCTGTGTGGCCGGGAAGAGGCGTGCCATGCTCTGGAGGCCCAGCTGGCCCAGGAGCACAGTGAGCTGGCGACCCGACCTGAGGTGGGGACTGGGGGTGGTGGTCGTCAGGACGGTCAACCACTGAGAAGGGGGAAGTGTAGCACCGGCGGGGCACATGTCCCAGCATGCCTCAAGCAAGTCACCATGTCTCTCTGCTCACATAATGTCTTGGTCCACCCGCACTGTGTAGAGGGAGAGAACCCTCTCTTAAAGGGTCGACACAGGTGCGGCTTGTTAGCCCCTTAGCTGTTGACTGGCTCGTGGCGTGGGCATGACAGTATCACGGTCTAAGAAGCATGGTCTTGATTCGTTTTGCTTTGTATTTGTATAAAAAACTCAATTTCAGATACATTTTCTACATTTATTTTCTTTAAACTAACATGCTGCACAAGTTAAACACTACAATTTTAATACAAAATGGCAACATATAATGTCAAATGCAACAAATAATCTGTAGACATAGGTCGATTGTACATCAACATATGATGCTTTTCCATTGTCCCCATGCTGTATTCATATTGTGAAGCACTAGCACTGCTCACTGTGCCCATCACCCAGCTCACTCCTAATTTGGGAGCACACACACACCAACACACTATGTACAGCAATAAACTGTCAACACTACACGTGGCATAACAACACAGCACATTTACATACAACACAAGTGACTATGAAGAACTGTTTACATGGCTGGCATCAGTCCAACCTGCCACACTGCCCACCAGTACCTCCGCGCTACACTGTCTCCCCCCCAGGGGGGTTATCTGTCCTGGAACCTCCACAAAGTCTTGGAAGTGCTCCGAACAGCGGCGAGTCCTCTGCAATTGCGAGCCCCCCAGTCCTCCACCATCCTGATCAGTCCCTGCTGCCGGGGTACTCACCACCAGTGGCGATGGCTCCTCCAAGTGGGCCGAGGTTGGTACAGTGCCAAGTGGTCATGGTGCAGCATAATAGTACTGCACCACTCAGGCATCCATACCCTGTACACCACCTTGGAGATCTGTTCCAGAACCTTCTTTAGGGCCCGTCCAGTGGCTGTCGAGCCAGGGTGACTGCTCCTTCTTCCTGATGAGGCAGTACAACCGAACAGGGTCCCCGGGCTGGAAGGACTGTCCCCAGGAGCAGACGTCATATGCCCTCTTCTGTCTGCTTGCGGCCGCCCCATGATGGTTCCTGGCCAGCTCGTGCACTATGCACTTCCTGCACCACTGTGTCATACGCCTACAGGATCAAGGGAAGGTAGACGTCCCAGTTGCACTGGTGCTCGTCCATGAGGTTTGCCAGTTGTGTGGCTAGGGTACGGTGAAACTGCTCCACCAGCCTGTCACTCTGCAGGTGATAGAGGGTGGTCCAGGTCTTCACGATCCCCAGCTCCTGGCAGACCTTGCTGAACACCTGCACCTTGAAGTTCCTCCCCTGGTTGCTGTGCAGCTCCCCAGGGGCCCTGAAGATGCAAAAAACCTATTAAGGAACTTAGCCGTGGTAGTGGCGCTCTGGTCGGGAACTGCATACGCCTCGGGTCACCTTGTGAAGTAATCCACGGCCACGAGTATATAGCAGTTCCAATGTGGGGGAAGGGGGCCAAGACATCCACCCCCACATGCTCTATGGGGGCGCCAACCAGGTACAGCTGCAGGGGGCCCGGGTTTGCTGGCTAGGACCCTTCATAACCATGCATGCATCGCAGCAGTACAAGAATAGCTTGGTGTCCTGCCAGCCGGCGGGCCAGAACCAATGTTGCAATTTCCCAAGAATCTTTGCTACCCCAAAATGCCCTGGCCCGATGGCCACATGTAGTGACCCTAACATGGTGGGGCGCAGGCTCTGGGGCATCAGCAGCTGCAGGAGCTCCCCTGTGCTGATAGGCGATCGCCAGCGGCAATACAGTAGCCCCTTATGCTCCTCCAGGGTGTGGCAAGCCGTGTTTCCGGATTAGAGGCCAAGATTGCCGCCCAGCCCGGTCATCCGCCCGGTCATCCGCCCTCGCTCCTCCATTCTCTCACTCTGGCCAGCATGGGGTCACTGTGCTGCTCCGTGGAGAGCTGCTGGTGCAGGGGCAGCGACAAAGGGCAAATTCTTGGGGCAGTGCTGGATCTTAAAGTCATAATTTGCCAGCACCTCCAACCAGCAGCCCAACTGTTCCGCTGGGTTGTAGAGGTTTAGAAGCCATGACAATGATGTGTGGTCCATCCGCAAGTGGAACCGCAAGCCACAGAGGTAGGAACAAAAGTGTTTGTGTGCCCTAATCATGGCTAGCAGTTCCAGTACCATAGGCTAAGTGTCCGGCTGAAGTACGCAACCACACGCTCCCCTTTGGGTCCCACCTACAACAGCACAGCACCTAGCCCCATGTTACTAGCAGCCATGTCCAGGAAAAATGGGAGATATGGATCTGGATATGCTAGTATGGGGCATCAGCAAACGCCACGTGAACGTGGTTGTAAGCCCTTCTCTGTATGATGCTGGTTCGCCTTTGCCGGTTCGCGAGCTCTGTCTTCTCTGCTAAAAGGGCTTACTCTGTTAAAAGCTGAGCTGAAGTTGATGAACAGCATCCTTACGTGAGAATCTCTCTTTTTCAGGTGCGTTAACGACAGGTGAAGCGCAGTAGATATTGCATCATCAGTTGACCGATTTGGGCGGTAGGCAAACTGGAGGGGGTCCAGAGTGCTGGGTAGGGTGGCTTTGATATGATTCATGACCAGTCTTTCAAAGCATTTCATGATGACTGGAGTGAAGGCCACAGTACGGTAATCATTGAAGCAGGTCACCGCTGATTTCTTTGGGACTGGGATGATAGTTGTGGTCTTGAAGCACGCTGGAACAATGGCCTGAGTGAGGGAGGTGTTGAATACGTTGGTGAGGATGACGGCCAGCTGGTCAGCACACTCTTTAAGCACTCGTCCCGGGATGTTGTCTGAACCAGCAGCTTTCCGTGGGTTCACTTTAGATTACCTGCTCATCAGGGAGAGGAGCAGATTTCCTTGTGGGTTTGCAGTTTAGTGCATCAAAACGTGCATAGAAGGTGTTCAGGGTTTCTGGGAGAATAGCATCGCTGTCACAGGGGGAAGGTGATGATTTATAGTCCAAAAAAGATTGTATGCCCTTCTACATTCTACGAGTGTCTCTGGTGTTTTGAAAATAGCTTTGAATATTTTGGGCATATGCAAACTTGGCTTTTTTAATTGCTTTGGACAGACTGGTTTGTGCGGTTCTGAGGGTAACCTTGTCACCAGATCTGAAGGCAGCAAAAAGGGCTTTCAGCATCTTCTGGACCTCAGTAGTCATCCATTTCTGCTTTGCTCTTGTGATGCCCCTCCTGGAGACAGTTACATCCTCAGTGCATTTCCTAATGTAGCCAGTCACAGCTGCAGTGGATTCCTCCTCATCAATACAGTCCTCGTAAGTAGCAGCCTCTCTGAAAACAGACCAGTCTGTGCACTTGAAGCAGATGACCGTCGCATCCAGCAATGTTTTCTCCAGATTACGGTAATTTATGAGAGTTTCCCGATCACACACAGAGGTGCGTGTTACTGGTGCACTTGTACAATGAAACATCAGTAGGACGCCAACAATATCATGAAACATTTAGCACCGAATTTGGGTTGCGTGGAGAGGCCACCGCGCTTACATCTGCTTACGCCACCATCTTGTTATTGATATTTATCACAAATTAGTTTTCTGAATAACAATGTCTTGATGTTGTCTCACACATTTCAGTGAAGAACTTAAACGCTTGTCCACGTTTAATCACCTGAGTGCAATTTTACTAACTGTGTAAATTAATTTTAGGTACTTATTGAAGATAGTAAGATGGCTTTGTGACTAACACTGGAGCCTCATGCCTCCAGGATTGAGGGTCTGAATCCCATTGTCATGCCCCGCTCGTCCGATCCTCCTATGTGCCACGCCCCCTCGTTAAACACGGGGATTCCACACAAGGTTACCAGCTGTTTCTTGTTGCTGTCATTAGTTCAATGTATTTAAGTCCACGTTAAGTTTGTTTCCCCAGTCCGATCATTGTAGTCTAACGTCTGTCCATGTGCCTTGCCTTATTGTTTTCTACAATAAATCCCCTGTTTCCCCGTCTCCCTGCTTCTGCTTCCCCAGTCCGTACATGACAGCCATCTCCTGCACTAATGAGCCACACTTGTTTAATCTTTTTTAATCTTGCGTCTCGTTACAGCCCTTGTGTGGATCACCCCAGGTGCCTCTCGTCTGCTGCCTCGTCAGTGGTGTATATAGTGCCTCCCTGTCTTGAGCTCCCCAGTCCAGTAATTGATGTTGCTGCCTGCTTGTGCACCCCAGTTTGTCCTGTGTTCTCTCCTGATTCTCCCTATCCCTTTTTGACCCCTTGTGGTCCATTTCATTTTACCCAGTTTGTACTTTTGCTCAAATAAAGTCCCTTTTGGTTCTCCCCAAGCCTGCCTTCATTTCCATCCTTCCTGTGACGTGACAATACAGTACCCTTTTTTCACCATTTTTACATGCACACTCACTTTAGTGTACATAATTTTTTTCTGTATGCTTGCATTTTGCTAATGCTGTATTACACTTGTATTGTACTTTCCTTATTTTATTTTTGTATTTTATATTACAATATTTTATACTGTAATTCTTTTATTTTATCTGTCACGTTTTGCGAACGGCGAGCAGGCAGTGGAGGCGAGAGCAGCCAGGTTAACGGAAGAACGGGGTTCTTTATCATTATCGTTCTTTATTTTTGGTATTTTTAAGCACAGTGAGACCTTTGCCTAGGCATAAAAATTGCTTTTGACAAATAAAGTTATATCTTTATCAAATTTCCATTTAAAACCCATTTAAAACCTCCTCCCTATCCTCATCTCATGTTCAACACCTGCTTTGTCTTCCCAGGTTTAAAGAACCATGGTTGTTGTTCTTTGTGTCTAAAACGGACCTCTCCATAAGTTAACTTGCATGTTAAATTTGTCAAACCATAATCTGCTGAACATTGTCTTTGCCTCACAGGTCGCAGCAGGTGGGCTGTCTCTGACACATCTATTGGCCATTGTCGAGCTCCCATCCAGAGGTCCATTTGAGATAGCGTCCCATTTGAGATAGCGTCCCATAGGTGCTCCTGTGCCCACGCAATGGGCGAGAGACGGAGCAGCCCTATGTACCTTTTGTGCCACGCCCATGGGAGCTCTCGGGAGTCCCATACCCCCGAACTCAGCAGATATGATGACAACTGCCCATGCAGCAAAGGACCCCACCTGGAGACCACCGTCAGCACGTGTTACTCACCTGTCCTCCTGGAACAGGACTCCTCAGTGAATAATGGATCAGGCATTTCCTGTGGCCTCCACTCAGTCACAAAGGACCCAGCCTTGCAGATCCCCATCAAGCCCCCCCTTTCCCCCCGGGGACCACACAAGATGCCCCCCTCAGGATGCTTCCAAGACCCGTACCGCACTCGCACCAGCATGCAAGGGGACGTCTACAACTTCTTGGAGAGGCCGGCTGGGCTGAGATGCTTCTTTTACCACTTCTTGGTGTGAGTAAGATGAATACCTCTCTGCTTCTTAGAGATATACTAAGTAACATAAAAAGAACAACTTTTAGCTAGTAAACCTTGATACTATGCAGTGCCGGTCAATGAAAAGGTTCCTCCTGTATCAATAGGGAATCAAACAAATTTACCTGTCTGTGGAAAACCTTAAACTGCAGGAAGTGCTTATTATGGGCCTATTCATGTCAATGAAAGGCCCATATTACTCTTCACCTAGTTATTATTATTATTAAAAATAAATGACGATAGCTGATGACTGCAAACTTGTTTAGGAAGATAGTGTATATCATGTTTCCAATGTGTGGTTCTGTGAGCTGTGTGATATCTGCTGGCAAGGCAGGATTTCTTTCCAAGAGTTTTGCTACGGATTATTTCTGCATCCTGGTTTTCTGTATGCATGTCCTGCTTAGGAAAATGCAGGCTTGTAAAAGTTCTTCATCCAAGGCAAATACATCATCCCTTCTGAGTCAAAGGATACAATGTTGACCACAGGCAGGATGTAGAACACTCTGGAAGGCAGAGTGGGATAAAAACCTCTGATGTTAACTGAGACTATAATATTTCGGTTCAGTGAATGGACTCATATATAATGAATTATCTAGTGATGCTCCACCAAGCTCCTTTAAGTAACTCTTACTCAGAGGTGGCTACCGGAGACGATTCCAGTCTCAACTGTCACTCTGGGGGCCAAGAAGGTAAAGCTAATGCTCTCTGTCTGTACCGCCTGCTCACCGTCCCCCATCCCTTCCGATTTGGGGATTAGTGTCCCTGTCAGGACGTGTCATGAAATCCTGAGATGTATCAGAACAATCAAAAAATAGGTGGTGAGAAACCTAAAACCAGGCCCAAGGTGATGATGCACCATCCAGGGTTTCCACCAAGTTGGCCCAGAATCCCAGCACTTGCATCTAAAATTT